AAGTTTTTGCTGTGTTCTAACGCAAAAAAAGAACAGAAAAAATGTCACATCTTCTTGGAACTGTGTCTGCAACATCTTGGTATGGACTTCTGCTGTCGGCCCTGAAACAAGACTGCCGGACCGGTCAGGAGATCTCATCGGCTCAGAGACCTACTATTTCCAGGAGCCACCTGGCAGCTTGACTGCACCTCCCGCTGCGCCAGAGAGTCAGCTGGAGCATCTTGTCTCTGCCAGGGCTTTAAAACAAAAGGCTGAACAACAGGTTTTGCTGTTACAAAGAGTTGATGTTGAAAAAAATATATATTAATACCTATTTAGAGAATTTGTGTCCTACCGTTACTTATCTTCTTACCATTTTGTTTCACCATCAGATCACATACTTCACTATTACCAATAAGATCAGGTTAATTTAATTACAATATCTGCAGTTCATCTGCGTGTTTGTTTCTTTACCTTATTTATCCTAATTTATTAAGCATTTAGCTACGAATAAATACCCTCATTCAATCAGTATGAAGTTGTCTGTGTGTTTTCTTTGAAGCAGAAGACAAGGTCAACATATTGAAATAATTAAATTCCTTCTGAACAGACTGATCAAATTAACCAGAGTTTTATTTACTGTAGTTTGTTGTTCCTGTTTTATTTTCATAAACAGGGTGGTGCCCCTTTCATTTATTCATGTAGTATTTCTCCTACATTTGTAATTCTGACTCTGATTAATACTTTTTCATATGAAGACAATTAGGTTTTTTCTCCCTGCAGTTCTAGTCTTCATCAGTATGTTCACCATATTATGCTGACTTTGGATTTAAGGCAAATAAATCTCTGTATACACCTGTCAAGTCAATAATCAGACTGTTCAGCCATCAAATAACTCACTTTTGTAAATTTGGACATCTTGATCACATTAGATAATTTCCAACATTCTATTGTTTGCTTGTTAATAACTTATAAAAAAAAATTATATACAAAAAAAACAATTGCTGATTTCTATCTCTGGCTTTCTCACTGGAATAGAGCAACACAAACACAATACAATATACTGTAAAATAGATAAAATGTAAAGTGTAAACTATGACCTTCCACAAAGTGATTACAACTCAAATCTTGTATATATTTTCGTAAGATAACAAATGTATCCATCAGTAATACTAATCTCCACCTTGTCCAACTGGCAAACAGAGAATTCCTTATCATGGCCTGAAACGTAGATACATTTATGATGGTGAGCATGTAGCACTGTAATAAGGTCTGCATTCGTAATGTGATCTTACAGCATCATGGTAAGTGACTTAAAGTCTGGACATACTGCTCTTTTAAACCTAAATGGCAGCTGAAACTGCCATTCCACACATCCATCTGATAATGCACCAGAGGAGAGTCGCCCATGTGCTAACAGGTAGGGTTAGCCTCCCTTGTGTTGCTGCAAAGTAGCTAATGAGGGTGTTTCATACAGACGCTGAAAGGTCTGCGTAAAATCCTGTCTGAAAGTCTGAAAGCGTCAGTATGACGCATTGAGATTGTTTATTCAGATGGGAAGACAGGATCAGCTGCAGGTTCACTCAAGTACAACAGAAGCCGTGTTTGCGTCAACATTTTTTTATACGCATTTTGAAGTATCGCATTAGAAAAGGTTGATGGCAAAATGAAAAAAAATATATATATTTCGCAAAAAAAAAATTACGCTCCCATGAGGTGGTTCTTGCCTTTGTCGAAAAAGATTTGATGCTCTAAATGGGAGATGGAAACACTTTCGCCGAATAAGCCCTTACCTAGCAAATTTATAACTCACATCTAATCAGCTGTTTCTGCTGTTGGCGTCTTGCCAGATATTCCCATAACATGCTTAACGTCATGGCTGGTAGCAACTTGTCTGCTTAAAACACATTTCTGAGGACCTCTCTCCATTTTTCTAAGATCAGTGGTCCTCAGGTTCATGTGAGTGGTTTTGTTTCTGGGACCCATACGTCTTGTTTATTACAGCCATGTTTAACATCAACTACTGACCTTATGCGTGCCATAGGCTGGTGTTTTCACTCCAAAACAGCCAATGGAAACACACCTATTTTACATGTACTACTTTTTTCCCCTTTTTTGCGACATTTCGAAAGTTTGCATAAAATTTGCATGTCAATTAGCCACAGTGTAATATTTTAAGCCTTCCACTAGAAGGCAGTAACGGTTGTAACCCCATATATTGTTTATATAAGAGCTTTCAGGCTTTTTGGTTTACAGTATGTTTGATTAAATAATTATGATTATTATTATTACATTTCTCATGCTGTTTAAAAATTATTAACAGATGTCTTACACAAATGATGGTTGGTTCCACCGTAGATAGCTGTATTTAAAAAGGTCATATCATGCTCATTTTCAGGTTCATCTTTTTATTTAGGGGTTGTACCAGAACAGGTTTACATGGTTTATTTTCAAAAAACACCATATTTCTTTCATACTGCACATTGCTGTATAGCTCCTTTTTTCACCCTGTGTGTTAAGGCTTTGTTTTAGCTATGGAGTGATGCATCTTGTCTCTAAATGATCTTTGTTGGGAGTTGCACATGCGTTCCTAGTTAAGGACTACTAGCCAATCAGAAGCAGAGTATGGCGGATCGTGAAAAGCCGTTAAAAACAGCTTCGGTTCAGCTGTAGGCTACATGTTGCTGACCAGCTTGGCAACATGGACTGGAGCAAGAGTTTCAGAGTGGTGAGTTATTAATCTGTAACAAATGTATTTTTCATCCATAAAGTTGTAACTGAGCTCTGTCTCTACATCACAGTAACAACTTTATGTCCATTGACTGCCTGGAGGGTAGCTGGTGTTTGGAAGGGAGAGGAGAGGCAGCTCAGAATGTTTTTCCATTAGTATTTTTGAGGCCGTGTCGTACTAGTTGCAAGGCGAGCATTAAGACATGCCTTTTGCTGTGAAGTCAGAGAGAGCAAAAGGAAAAAGCAGGATCACAAACGAGCTGTTTTCAGGCAGTTCAGAGCAGAGTTTTCTGTTTGAGACGGGAATTCCCTTTGGGCTGGAATTTGGGCATTTTCACTTTGCAAACCTCTTACATGCACAAAAAAAGATGTAAACTCAATAAAGGAGAGGGAAATGCCAAAAAGCACAATATGACCTCTTTAAATATAGTCTGTCTACATAATCCACAGCCCTCCTTGCATTTATTTTATGTTATTTTATTCATCATTAGAGGATTTCATCCCCCATCACTTCCACTGAAAGCAATTAGGAATACATTTCTTTAGGGCCAGTATGAACAGGGGAGATGATTATAGTGTGTTCTGTGTCCATCCAACACAAATATGTTTTAATATTTGTTCAATGGTAGCTGTTACTGATGTCAAGTAATTTAAATGTTTTCTGTTGATATAATTATATTTTTTAATTATTTATTTTACATATTTTTAAATCCTTGTTTTTCTAATTGTAACATGTTTTCTCTTGTATTTTGTTTTGTCCACTATGTTTATTTTACATTATGGATGTGGGCATTGCTGAAGAAAACAATATACAAACAGTATGTCAGTACATTGTCATTTCAAACTGGTGTGTCACCTTTTACAGGGAACTCAAGTCCTGCAGCAGCAGATGAAGCCATTTATTCTGAAGTCAAACTGGGAACCACTGTGTGCATATTGGTATTAGTGACTGTAGTGATTTATTTTACAGATGGTTACATGGGCTATAAATGGGTGTAAAATATCATAAAACACCCATAATTATTAAATAACCCTAAATCTCTTTTTCCTATGGTTTCCTCAAGATCATTAAAGACATCTGGGTCAACAAAACAGCCTTTATGTAATCACTGTGTGCACCTCTGCCATTCAAATATCAGACTTCTATATTCTAGTATTTTGTAAAGTTCAATTTATAGTATATAATTTAAAAGAAAATTGGTAAAATTACCTCAGATTATCACACATAATCATTTAAATGTTCCTATTGAGTGTTCTTCTGCAATATGCTGTCACATTATTTCTTAAAGCTCCTATAGAAAACTTTTTTGGGCGTCAAGTCCATTCAAAACATATTTCCGTAACATTTTGCATTTATTGCAGTGTCTTGAAATAAAATAGATTTATCAGTATATTAATTTCCTTATTATTATTATCTTTTTTTTTACTAAACTGACCCCAGAAGTATCACAGTCCATAATTAATGACACAGTAGTAGTGCTGTACTACAGTAGCAGTCTGACAACTAGATTCTACTGGTAACACACTCGTTCATTCACCTGCATGGTGACACCATGAGATGCGCTTCCTCCACAAAAACACAACAACCAATGTGTGACGGCCCACAGTACACTGCAGAGTCATGTTTCTCTGTTTAGGCCATAGTTTGGACAATATGTTTCTAAGCCTAACAGGAGTTTCTGAATTTGACATCAGTGAAATTGTCTAGTTGTCAGTAGTTATTATTCAACCCTGATTTTACCCTCAGATTCCACCTTAATGACTTTGAAGTTGTGTCTGACATTATCTCATATATGTTGTGTATCAGCTCATTCCAGCTCTTTATTGAAGTTATATGTAGTATGATGTTACCACTGAGAGAGATATTCAAAACAAATGGCCCATGTTTTTATGGCCACGCCACAAATGGACTTTTCTTTTCTTTGAATTTTAGACACAATTACTCCAAAATTCAGCCTGAAAACTAGGGAAGCTTCCCCTCATTTGTTAGGTCCATGATTTCTGTAAGTATGATGTTGGCTTTGTGAAGAAATCACAATTTAATACTTGGTGCACTAAGTAAAGAAGCTCTGTTGTTCTCTCTCTCCCTCCCCACATGGAGCTGTCCATGGTTCTGAAAGTATATGACCAATGTATTGCCTCTAAAACACTAAGCTGACTATTTTGGCTTACTAATAACCAAAAGGCTTATGTTTATATATAACTTATATATGCTCTTGCTTGTACGTGTGCTTTTTAGGAAAAAAGGAGTTTGGGGTTCGTAAGTAGCAGACAATCAGAGCAGGGCCAAATTTACGAAAGAAGAAAACATTTTATTGACAGTAAATATGTCAAATTTTACAAATACAGTAATCCATAACGGCAATATACTCCAGATTCCCTTAATTTTTTTTTCAGTTTTGTGAGTTGGGAGAAACTTCATAAACTTTGTGCAAAGCTGTCTACAACAAATTCTTAATTATCATGGCTTCTTAAAAATTCGGCATTAACTATAATACATCAAATTATTTATTCTCTTGTGTCAAAACATTGTGTCAATTTGTACCAACATATAGGCTACTCATCTAGATAGATTATGTCTCTAACAGCAGATGAAGTGAGCTGCAGAGATGAGTGCAGTGCACACACAGTATGTGAATATACTCAGTGATGAAGCCCAGAACTGCAGGGACAAAATAACATTACCAAAAATGCTACTTCAGTTACAAACATTTAACTGGAAGTTTAAAAAGACTGTAGACAACAAACCACCCTGCTGAACTCCATGCTGACATGAAAAGACACATATATAGACCTATGCCATCACACCTACAGAATAACTAAATAATTGCAATAAAAACATACATCAGTATATATACAGAAACAAATTCTACAGGGAATTAAACCCAACATATTAGAATTGTAGTTCTTTCATATGATCTCATGTTAAATGATGTTTGCATGGCATCAGCTGTATAATTGCAGTCAACACATTTAGAAATTTTTTCACATTTTTCATGTTGTTGTCTTTGCTTGTCTCATTTCTTGATAATGCATTTCTCTTTATGGACCTGGAAATCAAAACAAATACAAGTGAATCATATATACTTTACACATTAACCTATAACTTCCCAGAATTTTAAATTGATTGTAATTTGAACTGCATACTGACCTACAGTTATATTTACCTCTAGTGTATTGAATAATGATGTAAAACAATGTTAAATAAAAAATTAATTATAATGAAAATAGCATGTGTTGATATTTGTACCTTCAGTTGAATCTGGATTCGCGTTATAGAAGTCAGAGCTCTCCACTGGATCATCACTTATACCTTTTAAAACGAAGAAAAAATTCAAGCCGGCTTTTACACTACACATAAAGTACGTATGTAGATACCAACGTGTACTTTTGCCCTGGGCTGTATTTCATGGTTTTGGTTTTTATTTGGCCTGTTAGTTCCAGTTAAGGATATTCTTAATGCTACAGCATACGATGATATTTCAAACTAAAGTGTGCTTCTAACTTTGTGGCAGCAGCTTGGGGAAGGCCCTTTCCTGCGTCAACATCATAATGTCCTGCATAAAGCAAGGTACATAAAGAAGTTATTATCCAAGTTTGATGAGGATGAACTGACCTCATCATCCAACACCCTTGTAACATAAAACATCAACTGCTATGCAGTAAGGTAACCGGCAGCCAGGTTCCCAAAATCAATAATTAATGCATTTTTTAATGTTTGATTTGTTGTGTACTCACTCATATTTCCAAGACCTTCAAGCTGAATCTCAGAACTCACATTTATGTATTCATCTACTCCTTCACCTGAAATTAGAAAGTATTTTCTGGCTTCAGTTTTAATCACTCAAAATAATTTTGGACTGTGTTGCATGAATCAGAGTTTATACTTTACCACTTCCAGTGTTTCCAGAGCCACTGATTGTTTCATAGACACAAACATCACCTACAGGTCAGAAACAAACTGAAGGTAAATAAAGTCACTTTAAAGTCCATGATATCGTAAGAATTGATTTAGTGTGTTAACTATGCTGCAAGGGGAATGCTCTTATTATTCTAAATATAATAATTAATTTGAATATAGAAGAGTGTCAGAAATAGCTGTGAAAGTAATTCAAGATTAGATGGAGGACTGACCATGGTGAAGAGTGGAGTATACTTGCTGCAGACTTTCATATTGGTTGACAGTGTGGACTGTAGCAGAGCTCTGATTGGTTCTCTGAGACTGGATGAGCCTGAAACGTAGTAATATAATATATATGTAAAAACTACTAAAAGTTAAAAGTTAGTAAGTTGTGTTTAAGGTGAGATAAGACAGTGTTGTACCAACCTGTGAAAACATGTATCTGTGAAAAAGAAAGTAATTATTACATTTTGTTTTTCAAACTGAAACACTTCTCCATGTCTTGACATCAGATTTCCTCAGTGATTCTAAAAGAACAGAGTGATTTACCTAAAATAAACATGAAAAATTCTCACCCTTTGACTGTTTGTACAAACACAACAGCAGAGCCAAGGGAACAATCAGTAAGATACCAACAACCAGCCCAACGATCAACAGCACAGGAAATGCTGATCTGGATGCTGCTGTAATAAAGAATAATTAATTATGCATTATCTTTATCTTTAAAAGGATTACACAATCAAGGGTCTAGTCGGCAACATGACTGAAAGTACGTCAGTGAACTGGAAAAATGTAAAACAAGTTCATCATAAACATCAAAGCATTCTTGTTTAATTTTGTTATTCTCGAAAGACTACACTGAAGAAGGGGTCATATTTATCCCATTTACGTCCCATCGGCAGCAGCTAACTTCCATCACCAGGACCTGTTTTTTGGGGGGGATGAAAACCATCATAAAAAACAATGAACCTTATGTAACTACATTTGGCTGATAATGATGATTTATGTACTTTATTTTTAGGTGACCACGTGTACTGAGTTTTTGTGGAATATAACTACCACATGACTGCACAGGTTAGGTCAGGTTAACTTTATTGTCCCCAAGGGGAAGTTCTGCTTGGGCGCAGTGCAGAGTTGCTTCATAAAAAATATCACAAAAGACATCACACATCAACAAGAACCTAAGAAGCATCGACATGTTGTACTAGGAAAATATAAACACAGATGAAAAAGGACATTGTTGACAACACAGTTCCATAGATTAAAGTGCTAGTGTGGTTGTTGCACATTGCTCCATTGAACTGAAGTTTGTGTAAAGTGCATTTGCTAAGGTGCTAGTATGTTTATTGCAAGTTGCCCTATTGCACCAAGATTGCAAGAAAAGAGCTGTAGTGCTCACATATTTATTAATTTTACACTATTTTACATTGTTCAGCACTTAATGGATAATTTTAGGCGATTTGCATTTTGGTACACGGAGTCTTCTTCCTGATGGCAGGGTTTCGTATTCAGGGAAGAGGGGACGTTGAGGGTCTGATTTTATTTTCCTAGCCTGTTTCATAACTACCTGGTCATACATGCTCTGTACAGACTAATCGTCTCTCCTTCCTGTAATTTTCATAGCTGTTTTGTGCATGTTGGCAAGCTTGTTTTTCAACTTAACTGTTAAGTTGCCGAACCATGCAGTAATTCCATATCTGATGACACTCTCTAAGATTGAATGGTAGAAAATCATCATGATCTGAAAATCATCATGATCTCACATCATACAACCTTAGACACCTTAAAAAAATAAAGCCTCTTCTGCAATTTGTTACACAGGTTGTTAACATGTGTATTCCAGCAAAGAAGACTGTTAATGTGGACACCTAAATATTTGTCCGAGGACACCTGAGTAACTTCCTGGTTTTTAATGACCACTGGCTCATGGTTAGTAACTTGCCTTGAGTCGAAGACCATCTCCTGTGTTTTCTGGATGTTTAAAGTTAGACTACAATCGCTGCCAAAGATTATTTAACTAAGTACTGAGTTAAGGGTCTGAATACTTATGTCAATCACACTCACATTTTACTGAGATCCAGCTCTTTGGTGATGATCGACTCCCCTGATGTGGTGAATATTTTCCTTCACATTTATAAAAGCCTTCATCTGACTTTGATACTGCAGGAATAGTCAGCTCCCCTCTGGTATCACTTTGGATGAGTTTATCATTTTTATAGAAATTTACATTAGAAAGAACATTTTCTGTCTTCAACTTGCAGCCGAGTGTAACAGAATCTCCCTCAGCCACAGGATGGACAGGGCTCACCAGGATCAAATCACTGTCTGTAAAAAGATCAAGCAGGATGTTTTGGTAGAGATCAGCTGGTGCTGGTTGAACAAGCTGATGCACGATAATGAAAATAAAATAGTATGAATAATAATAATAATAATAATAATAATAATAATAATAAATAATAATATATATTTTTTAAATTTAATTTTAGAGATGCCTAGTAGCATCAGACAACTTGTGTGTGTAAAACTTGTGTAAATGTTCTTTCTATCACGTGTACAGCAGGTTTCTAAATATCAGCAAACCATCATAAAGGTTATAGTTTATTTCACCTTCACTTGTACAGATCCCCCATAAACCAGGCCTTTTAGCTGTGATTGGATGATGTAGCGTTTTATAGACAAAATGTTGACGAATGATGAATAATGTTTGGCAAGTGAAATACAGTACATGCCAAATTACCTGAGCAGCCAACCTTCATCATGTGTCACTACGTTCTTACTGTAAAATGAATGCTGGAAAGGGTGGCACCTTGGTGATGCACATGGGTAAATTTGAATGCTGAATGGGTTTACACATTAAGAACTATTTTTTGTTGTCAGCCGATGTGAACTTTGTGTTAGTGTTCTACGGAGGACCTACTGAGGGAAAAAGCTAAGGAGCCAAGATAGAGCCAAATAACTCTACAGCTAGCCCAGGTATAAAATAAATGCTGGATAACTATTATCATAAAGATGTCAGTGGGCAATAAAATCCATATGATGATTTCTTGGATAATATTGAGAAATTATACTTAACTAAAGCTGTTGAGTTTGTTTATTGGTTTGTTAGAAGAAACGTCAAGTTTAACTCTTTTCAGGAAAAATATAGTATTGAATGAGTATTGAAATAATATATATATTTAATAAAAATGTGATAAAAACTCACTCTGCCCAGTGATGTTGACTGCATTGCTGAACTGTCCTGTTTCAGACTCACACCAGTACACTCCATCTGTGTACTGGGATTTATTGGTGTTGCATGTGGATCCAGTCATTGTCCCCCAGGAAGAACAGTGTGTCAGGTGGCCAAATTTAGAAAACCTCCTCACTCTCCACTTAGTAGAGTTTCCTTCACAGCTCAGTGACACGGACTCTTCAGTGAAGTGCTGCACTCTGTCAGGACTCACTGTGAGAGACGCTGCTGGATGAAAATCTGAAAAACAACATTTAAATAGGGGGAAAAAAAGCATGAATAATCAATCTTGTTTGATTTGTTTGTAATCTTTTTGATTGTTTGGTGAATAGAAACACAATATCTCATTCATAGAGGTTTAAAATGAGATTAAAAACAGAAGGGAAATAAAGCTATAGGTTTAGTGTAGATAGAATCATTTTCATTATTGAGGTGTTAAAACAGTTAAACAGTGCTGAAATGTGCAACAGTGTAACATATTGTACCTTTATGCCATTACTGCAGAGGGGATGTGATACATGTCTGCAAACTGCAGATGAATCTATAGTTCACAGAAGGTGGGTAATGCAAAGGTGCATACATTGTGTTTCTGCTCTCTGGGTCAATAACTTCTACTTTAACCCCAAAAAGAGAAGACAGGAAGAAGAGAGCAGGCCAGCATAAAATGTGAGTGTATTAGTGATCTGAGGGAACTGTTCTATAGGGTACCTTCATGTAAAATGAGCAATACCAGAATAGAGAAAAAACAAATTTCAACTAAAAGTCCTGCATTTACAGGTTTGGGGGAAAGAGAGGACAGAAGAAACATCCATCCATCCATCCATCCATCCATCGTCAACCACTTATCCTGCGTACAGGGTCGCAGGGGGCTGGAGCCAATCCCAGCTTACATCGGGCAAAGGTCAGGACAGGTCGCCAGTCCATCGCAGGGCCACACATAGACAAACAACCACTCACACACATTCACACCTAAAGACGACAGAAGAAACATAATTAATGAAAATGAATTAGGACAGAAGCAGGGAATGAATAATGTAAAAAAATAAGCATGTAGATCTTATTCAAAAGTACATGTTTAACTAAATGTATTTGTTTATTTCCCAGTCGTGGGCATTGGTGGCATGTATTCAAATTAAACACATTTCTATAGATAAAAAATGAAGTAAAAAATAAGTAGTCAATCCCTGCTGTTTTGTTGATATATCTTACAAAATGTGTTGAGTCTCTACCACTTGTTTTAGGTATGTTATGCTAAAAAATAATCACTAGGTGTAAATAAACAGTAATTAATATGCTTTAAGGTCACCTTATTAACAGTAGTTACCACAGGCATGGAGACTTCTTGGTGGAATTTTCAAAGGTAAGCCATTTCAACATATCAAGCATCGCATTAGTGCGGATGGGCAATAAAGTCAAGCTCAGCTCACAATCCAGGCACATCAGCTGACAGCTCAGCTGTTTCCTCTCTTAGCATTCATTCGCAAATTCCATACAAGGCTCCTTATTTAAGCTACTGTAACCTGCCTGCCCTTGCTGCTTCCTTTGCAAGCAGCTCATAACCCACCAACAACACAGCTCCACCTTTCAGACCATATCTGATAGGGATGCACAATAATAATCGATCCAATAAAGTATGCCAATATAAGGCATTTTTTCATTATCAACCCGTTCTGACTCCTAAGTCAAACTTAACCAAACTGCAACGTTTCACGACTAATAACGCGCCATTTAAAAATGTTGAGGATTCGAAACGCTAACGTTTTATATAACATGCGCCGCTGCTTTTGACGAGCTCTGGTCGCCACGTTGCTGCACGTAGATAGAGCCACGCAGACAGTGCAGGCAGCTAGAGTGAAACAATCATGTCATGAAGGTTCAGATGTTTTCACTGTTTCAGAAGAAGACAGCACTACTGCATATGGCATCAGTCCTTCCTCCTGTCCTTCTTCCCTCTGTCTCTGCTGTGATCACTGCAGGTAACCAAGTGCCAGTTTGAAGCTACATGGCAAACTAAGCTGAACAGTTCAATTTACCTCGTTTGGACATTTAGCTAATTACAAAGCTAACGTTAGCGCGGTGGGCTTTTATAACATAGGATGAGAGAGTTGGACAGAGCAGATTAAATAACACTTTCAACATGTTATGCTTGTTGAACAGATGTATTGAAAAAGTATTGTCTTTTTACACATGCAGTTTTATTGCATGTGCATGAGAGAGATCCCAGTACCGAGCCACACCTCCAAACATAATTTCAGTGGCGCAAATATCGGTTTCTTTATTGGAAGTTTACAGACAGACAGAACAGAATTATATTACCTCTTATCACTAAAAAAGTATAATAATGAATATTTTTATAAATACATGGATGATGATGATGATCTGAATGATGACCATTACCAAATAGAGGATCCTGATTATTATTATTATTATTATTATAATGATACTTTTTCACATGAAGCAACATCTCAACTGTTTGGTAGAGGGCTTCATTGTTGTGAATGTCGTTACGTTTGCCCCAAGGAAATAAAAAATGCAACGAAAACATTTTCCATTGCTTTTTTCTTAGTTGGGACAAAATACGACGATATACAAATTCCATAAATGAAAAATTTGTGAAAAGTAAATAGAAAAGAAAAAAATATTTTTTAAAGCATTCAAGGTATATAATTGAACATGTAATATAGTATTCTTACAGTAAGTTCAATTAAGTTTTGGGCTTCCCAAGTCAAAGCTTTGAACAAAATGAGCACAACAATGTCAGTGTCAGGATGAAAAGGGGGTCAGGAGATTTACTCATGTTAAAATTCAGTCAAGTCCAGCAGAATAAGGAAATAACACCATTCTGTTTTAGAGAACAGTTGGAAAACTGAAAATTTGACGTGATGCTGGTGTAAGATAAAAAAAGGTCATAAGGTCACCACAGTAAGTCAAAATAAACTGACCTCCAGACCAGACAAATTTTGGTTTGCTCCCGTCAGTGTAATACACTGGATCTCCTCTTCCAGCTCTGCACTTATATCCTGCTGTGTGTGTCTGTCCATGAACAATGTAGGAATCCTGTTCAGTCCCGTTGCTGCTGCCAGGTAGCAGCTTATAGCTGTAGGAGTTGCCTGATAGTTTGGGAACAGCCTTATACCAGAAGAACCTCCATCCTGCAGATGGATCTTTAACACTACAGCTCAGAGTTACTGAGGCTCCAGGACTCAGCCAGAATGGAGACACAGTGAGGACAGGCTGGGGCTCTGTGGAAAAGTGATTATCCCAGGATGAAAAATGTTGTAACGTACACTATATTGCCAAAGGTTTTAGGACACCTGCCTTTACATGCACATGAAGGTTAATGGCATCCCATTCTTAATCCGTGGTGTTTACAATGGAGTTGGCTCAAACTCTTCTAAGCAGACTGTCTACAAAGTTTAAGATTGTTGTGATGGCCTAACTAAGCCACACAGGGTGACAGCCAGCAATGGTAAATACAGTACACAAATCTACCATGTTTTGTTAAGTACACTGGTTAAGTTCCTTTTGCAGTTAGCCTTACCCCAAATAATTGATGATTTCCAGTTACAGATTACACCGTTTATTTGAGTTGTAATATACATTTATTTGCTTTTAGCCCTGCACTGTTTAAGTGGAGTTCACTCATTTTCACATTGTGGGGTTAAGTAAACATTTTCTGTTGTATTAACCATTATTGTTTCTTGTGTTACCATGTTGGAGGGAGGTCTGTCCTGGGGCCTGTACCACGAAACGCGTTCAACATACCCAGGATATCTTTACACTATCTGGCTTAACTAACCCCAACAATTATGATTGTGATAAGCGGTACCACCAAGCTGGCAATTTACTCAGTAAGTCAACCCAGGGTTTCCCAATACAGCCATGAGCACGTTCACATGAAAGAGGCGGTGTTAGCAGCAGAGGACCAATCACAGACATGAACAAGCCCACTGGCAGCAGAACGTCATATTTTACAGCAAAAAGAGCAAATTGTAACTACAGAAATACGACATAGTCCAAGTAACACAGCTGCAGCTGACATATGCAGGGAGACGGAAAATCGGCAATGGTGTGAATGCCTAAATGAACAGGCGTAGACTAGTCTATAAAAGGCTAATGCGTTGATTTGATGCATTCTTGGGCGCTGAGTAAGTGCTCGTTCCACCTCACGTTAAAAAACTTCTGGTTACTTCAAAAATGAGATTAATTTATTTATTCACTTTCAAAGGTGTTCCAAACATTGTTCTAAATTAACTTCATGAAGCAATGAAACAAAAAAATCCATTCATGCCATAAAAGGTGCTCCAATAGTGGTTGAAAGACTGAATCTCAACATTTAGGGTACTGAAAACTCACCTCATTACCTGCGCCCACATCACAAGAAGTGGGGCAGAACATGACCAGTCTCTGTGATAGCCTATAAGTTGACTACTAACCTACAATAAATAGATAAATAAAATTTATTTCAATTGCCCTATTAAACTGCTCATAATATTCAGCCTCACATAAGAAAAGTAAAACCCATTTATTTTAACGGCTGCGACGGGCTGTATGAAACAGACTGGGAGAAAATAAAAAATATGAAACACATTTCAAAGCAGTAAGTAGGCTTACTGTAAAAACTTGTACAATAACAAAGCTTTCAATCAGTATCTGTAGGATAAAATTGCTATAGCCGACAATAGTTTCTCCACATCATAAAGCAAACATAAAACATTAAATCTCCTACAGATGGTCATTTTCCAAGGAAGACTATTGATCAGTAGACGGCGTATTTATAGACTTGATCTCTTATCTGGAATATAACACGCTCCGGAGCAGGTTAGGCGGTCAGCATAGCCTTGGCGATCCACCCCGGTAAGAAGAGAACCACCATTGTGGTGCCGAAAACCCAGAGTTAACCCTGAAGTTACCTAGATAAGCTCATATCCTGCTTTGTGATACAGACCACTGGTGGAAGAAAGGCGTGACCAAGGGTGGACGACTTTTATATTCTGTGGCTTGCCAATCAAACCGTACCATGTGCTGCCATGTTGGAGGGAGGGTTTAGTTTGTTTTACTTGTAGTTGTAGTTGGTGTGTTTGTTTTCCCCTTGTGTGTAAATTTGTTTGGCCAAGCCACTATATGTGTTCCCTTGTGTCTCATTCAGTTAGGTCAGTTTGTTCAGTTCATATCCTATTTTGTTGTATGCTGTTTTGATGATACCATAAAACTTCAATTGATAGCTGAGTCTCAATTAGCCGCCTTCCTGTTTACTGGCCTGGTGTGGGAACACATTTAGACAAATAAACACAGGTCCTCATTAAACGCCTGGTCTGGTTTTTATTTAAGTTCTTTGGATGCATAAAACCTCTTAAACTGTGCCGGGTCGCCCACTTTAGCTGCTTCTAAGCTGCTCAGATCATTAATACAAATAATAATGTTTAAAATGTATGATCAATATGTCAGTATGGACATGCTACACTGTTAGATTTGGTTAGATTCTCCACAATACAACGGTTCAGTTCATTTAATTGAAAAAACAAGCCCCAAAGTCTAATTCTTATAGATTTACCATGTTCTGCATGGTAAAAGAGATGAAAAGGGAAAAAAAGTGCAGACTCACATTACCTTTGAAGTGCTCCTTAAGTCTGACTGTGTCCCTTCCTTAATTATTTCAAAATAGAATCAAAATAGCTTTTCATAAAAATTAATCCAAGTTGTGAAGTCCACACTTCTCACATTGTTTTCATTATGTTGCTTTCTTCAAAATAAAAGCCCATAAGTCTGTCGGAGCTGTACAATGAAATGTATTTGAAATTATTATCTCAGTGGAACTAAGGGGCCAAGCCCAAACACTGAATAACAACCAGCAGCTGCTCAGCCATGGAAACCCATTCCATGAAGGTCTCTACGCACTGTTCTTAAGCTAATCCAAAGTCCACATGATGTTTGGAGGTCTGTGCGTCCCAGCATGCACATTCTGCAGTTCCCAGTCACTTCAATTTTGTAATAATACCACTAACAGTTGACCGTGGAATATTTAGTAATGAGTAAATTTCACAAATGGACTTATTTCACAGGAGGCAACCTATGATGGTACCACGCTTAAATTCACTGATCTCCTGAGAGTGACCCCACTGATATATGATGCATTGGCAATATTGTTGTTACACATTCATGCCAATAAAGCTAATTTGAATTGAATTCTTTCACAAACGTTTGAAGAAGCAGTCTGCATGCCTCGGAGCTTGATTTTATACACCTGTGGCCATTGAAGTGATTGGAACACCTGAATTCAATGATTCGGAGGGGTGTCAAAAAACTTTGGCAATTTAGTGAATCTGTGGAGGATAACATGCACTGCTTACACATTCCCTTCTTGCTTTATCTCGCTTTAAATATATAGTACAAATATGAATGTGCTTAAAATATAGTAACCAAAACATTTTTTTTAAAATGATTTATATTCAGCAAACTGTTGATATGACTTACTGTCAGATAGTTTCAATGTGAAAGCATCACTCCACTCTGTTGAAGACTTCTCACTTTTTGGTTTGCCTCTACAACTGTACTCTCCGTTATGTGATGAAGCATTTCCGATGATGTATTCATGCTGTTTTTGAGGTTTGTATGAGCTGGATGTTTTCCATTCATACTCCCACTCAGTGTCTCCTCCGTCCTTGATCTCACATCTCAGACTGATCGTCTCTCCTGAGTATATCTCAGACCAGTTTGGTTGCAGAGTCACAACAGCCCTGTTTGTGACTGTTCAAGAAGCCACAAATAATAAAATAACAAAAAGGTTAAATGTTTTTTAGCCTTAATCTTAATTAGCAATAATGTGTATACATTTACTTTTCATCATTCATTGTGTATTTTGAACTATAATTCTAAATTGTCAGTTTTGTCAATACCGATTGCATTACTGTGCTCTGTGTAGTAAACTGGGTCTCCTCTTCCTCCTCTGCACCAGTAGAGTCCTCCCTGTGAGACACTGATTTGTCCATTTGAGATGAAGACAGCATCTTGTGTGTTCAGAGGTTCAGAGGTTTTCTCTCCTCTGTACCAGAAGTATTTCCAACCAGATGACGGGTTCACAGAGCAGCTCAGGGTCACACTGCCCCCTGCTGGACTGACTGTTTTCTTTTTGCTCAGTTCAGCCTTTGGTCTGCGTGCTGTTTGATTTAGAAAGACATAAAAACAGTGATTAATCCTGTCCCTAAGAAAATTAAAATGAGAAATATATAATCCAGCCTTCTTGGTGGGGCAACAACTAATTGTAAAATATTAAATCTGTGTATATTATTAAAATATAGTCGAGTAGTCAATCAATGAAGTCATTAGCAGCTATTTTTATGTTTCACACTTATTAACGACTGAAGCTGTTGGTCACATTAACATAACAATGGTTAAAGTTCAAACACATCTTTAAAAATGAATGACCAATTAGACACAGCCTTCTCTTTGTGTCCAGTGTCTCTAAGATCATCTCTCTGCTTCACTCTGGGAATGCTACATGTCTGCAGCTCATTCTGGCAAATTTTCCCTGAATGTTGAAACGTTTGAAAACTACTTACGTTCAACTTTCAGTTTTATTGGTTCTGATTCTTCGTCCTCATCAAATTTACACATGTAAGAGCTCCTGTCTGACAGTAGCTGAATGGTCATTTCAACTGTATTTGGTGATAGTATTGATGACTGATGGTTTGTGTCCCTCTCAATAAGTGATCCGTTTTTATAGAAGACAGCGTTCTTCTCTTCTGTCTGAGTCCGATGTCTACAGCGCAGAGTCACTGATTCTCCTTCATACACAGTGGATGCAGGATTTTCCAGGATCACATTCTTGTCTTAGTAACACATGTGGTTCTTTGTTTTACTAAGTCAGCTTTAAATAAAAGAACAAATCTTTGAATACTTGTGATGATATATTAGTGAATTGTATTTTTAGCATACAAATAATTTCACTTTAATATTAACTTGGAGAGCCCTGCGATGGACTGGCGACCTGTCCAGGGTGTACCCCGCCTTTCGCCCGATGTCAGCTGGGATTGGCTCCAGCCCCCCGCGACCCTGTACGCAGGATAAGCGGTTGACGATGGATGGATGGATTAACTTGGAGACAGAAGAAGCTTCTTAACTCACTCTTACTGTAATAAATAATGATAGATTTACTAACTAATAAATAAATACGTTTCCCCATCTCTCTTATGTAAACCCCTTAGTGTGAACTTTCATGTTCTCCTTTTAGTTGTCATGATTTTGTGATAACGCGATTACACAGTTCTACAGCTGCATAAACAGTTTTAGTGGAGCTGGTCAAACTTTAAGGTTTATGAATCTCAAACTAGTTTTGACACTAAAAACCAACAAAATTGATACTTTATATTGTCAACATGGCTCATAAATACAGGTTTTTAGTGAACTTGGTCATGATAGTAAAACATTGATGACTTACCTGATACAGTTAGAGAGACATTGTTACTTCGTTTAATAAAATGTGTTGAGACCTTGGGACTTCCAAAGCACTGGTATTCACCACTGTGGCCTGTATCTAGTGGTTGTAATGTGTAGTTCTTATTTGTGTTGTTGTGGAGAAATTCTCGACCATCCTTGTTCATTCTGTAATACCAGTCAGTGTCTTTTCCTTCCCCCATGTCACATATGAAGGTCACAGACTCTCCAGTAAATAAAGTGGACCAGTTTGGCTCAATGGTTAGCAGAGAATCTAGAAACCAACACAAGATACATGGAGTGAAATGAGAAATACACTGACAGACAGAAAAAGGATGCGTTCAAGAGTGATGCAGAGTCATCTCGATGAATATATGAAAAGACTGAAACTTGTTTAATTACCTTGAGAATGTCCACAGTGGAGAAGGATATTCAGCACTACAATAGAGTTTGAAACTTCATCAAACTGACACAAACTATCCAATATATATTAAAGCATTATTAGATCGCTATAACTATGATTTAATCAGAAAAAGTCAGTGATACTCACAAAAACATTCCAGCACACAGAGGAAAGTGTGCCCCATCCTCACATCCAGCACCGACACTCTGCGATGGAGAAACTGTCTAAAGAGAAACCTTTAAACTGCAGCATATGAAGAGAAACCAGGAACTGTGGAAAAACAGAAGATACATTTCATGTAAGTATTGGACTGGAAGATTTCTCAAACCTCTTCTACGTGTAGAGTCTTTGCTTCCTTCCCTTTTACTAAAAGCTCACAAAAAAACTGACTGGGCTTTACCACAGCATATTTTTTCCATTTTCATATGGAAAAACATTGCCCCCAGAAGAGTAATAGAGGAGGAATCCCTCTCCCAGGATGGACAGGCGCAATATATGTCTATCAACATAGTAAAATTACAGTATTGACACTCAAGATGGAAAAATTATAGAGAGATTGTAAACATACATGTAGAATACGAATCCAGGAGTACACTGCGCAATTTCCAGGTGCAGGTAAACAGACAGGACCTGAAAAAAGAGGACAGGAGGAGAAACTAGAGGGAGACAGAGAAAGTATGTAGTCAAAATAAGCAGCTAACTGCTTATGTGTAAGGTTAAAGGTTATTGAAATTAAACTAGATCAAGGGCGGGACTGCTGAACTACCAATCCACAACTGCTCTCCATGGAGGCCTGGGTCTCGGTGCAGACACCGCGGGGTGCCACCTGGGTGTTCAGAGGTGTTGTGGGGGCGGCCGTCTGCCCAAATTGCCGACCAGATGATAACCTATGTGGTGACACTGTGACCACCACATGTGCTCTACCAAAGTGGTAGAGGCCAAACAACAGAGATTATAATCTTACTATTGAATAACCTGCTTTATTTAGATTCCTTAATTTTAGTTATATGTCTCTGGTGTAAGCAGAGATCGTTCTTATTTGTAAACCTCTGTTAAATCCGACAAATTAATACATTAACTCTGAAACATGTCTTGATCCATCCTTGGTTTTCCACCAGGGTATTTATTCATTTATTTATTTATCTTTGTTAATTCCACACCCCTACACAGCCTGGTACGAAAGAGGATTGGGGCAAAATGTGATTTTTTTTTTTTTGAGTTCTGAGAAAAAAAGTCAGAATTCTGAGATTGAGGGTGCTTTCACACATGGGCTATATTCGAAACCGCCTAATATACTAGTAGTACGTAGTAGTTTGGCCCAAATGTAATATGCAGTATGCAAACAAAAGCAAAATCTGAAGTATGCCAAAAATACCCGGATGGCGTACTGATTCGGAAAAATCTCTGGTATGCATCAGACCTACTGTGTGTACTGTGGCCCATTATGCAAAGCGCTAGACCTGTAATAACAACAACCTGTCTTTTCTTTAGAGGACAACAACAGAACTTGTTTTACAATTTTCATAGGCTGTTTCATCACTAAATCCACTTCTAACAGGCGAGAAATCAACTGTGTACATTTTTAATTTTGTACATTTTTAGGGAAATTGTTGACGAATTGAAAATGTGCTTAAACATTTTCGGGTTTGAGAAGCTCTGCAAATGCAGTGGGGGAAGCTAATGAGCCGGCCAGTCAGCTCACGGATCTCACAGCCACACAGACCTCTGCAGCCAACACAGCAGATGAGTCCAGCAACAACTTGAGAGGAAAGACCCGCAGCTGTGAGACAGTTTAAATGTTCGTACCGCTGTTATTCTGTCATTACCTTCTGAGTAATGTTGTAACATTAAATAAAGAGACATCTGGCTCGTGATGGACAGGTTTGTGTAACTTAAAAGCACTTTGATAAAAAAATAAATAAAACAATAGTGGAATGAAAGGGGACTGTTGTCGTTTTATTATTATCATTATTCTAAATAGACATTTTTAGTGTAATGTTACAGTTGTGGTTATAGCACTTGCTTTTTATTTGCTTTTATTTTATATAATTCTTATTTATGCACCAATATACCGAAGCAAACATCTGCTACAGATCAGCTGCAGCCTTGTTCTCATAAATAAGATTTTAAAAAAAGAATGAGTTTTAAGTGTACTTACATTTATATTCTTCTTATTGTTCCGATTTTGAAAAACGGAAACTAGCAAAGCCTGGTGCAGCATGCTGCAAAATAAATCTATTTAACAGTTTCATACTACATACTATACCTCATACTGTATGCAGTATACAGTACATACTACAAACTGCTGTTGCCAGTAGTATGTAGTATGTAGTAGGCGGTTGCGAATACAGCCTTGGACCGTTTAGTTTTGTTCCGGAATAGATATTTTGTTCCGAATCAATTTGAATACGTCACGTGTTCACACCGCACTATTTTAAAATATCACTGACCGTCCGCAGCGGGCCACTCACTCCGCAATCTCCTGTCCCTAGCCCTGTATGCTCCACTGCCCCACTCCCTCTCCAGTAGCCTACAGGTTGTGTCGCTAGTACGACCGACGCACTGTGAACAGTTCGTGATCATTCCCTCTGGCTGGATGAATATGTAGTGAACAACGGTGTGGATTTGTGCATTTTACATTGAATAAATTTGGAGCTACCCTAAATTCCTTTCTCCTCCCCTGAGAAGAAGGGGAGGGGTCAAAGTTGCTTTCTCTAAGTGCTATCCCGACCATAAAACTGGCACCATTTTGATTCCGAAGCTGATAACGCGGGGCCTGACTGTTAAACTGACAAAGGGACACGAGCCAGCCATTGGCATCTCCCTGAACAGCCTATCAAAACTGGCCCCCCACACACGTTTCCGTGGCAACTGACCTTATTCTTTGTTTTATTACCACATCAAAGGGATACTCCTTGTCTCACCTAGGTGTGACATGGTCCAGACACTGAACTGGACTGCAATCTCCAAAGACTCAAAGTTTAATTAAATCTTTAGTTACCTGATTACGTTTGCCTCTATTTGAGTAGTTATGTTAACTGTTGTTGCTATCTGTTGTTTATTAGTGCTGAAAAGAAGTTACTTGTGCAGTGTTTTTATTTTAAGCAAGACACTCCTTCATCTAATGTAATCCAAGCTTTCCTCATGTAACCTGAGCTCCCCCAAGTGGACGAAATAAGTATTACATGCCCTCATCGGAAATGCCGTTAAATGTATAAATATCCTGACCAACAATGTGACAATTGTTTCCTGTTACCAAATGCCTAGAACAGTACAACCGTTCAACCATTGAGGTTCGATTGTGGAAAATATTTGATTATAATACGTGCAAATAGATTTCTTTTCTTTAGACATTAAGTTTAGAAAGGCAGTCCCTGGGGAAACCTGAGACACCCCCTGGGGAACCACGCCCCAGGCAACAAAAGAGCGACACGCGAACTGCTCGCTCTCTTCTCTTCGCTGTTGACTGTTCCACCCTGCTCGGCCCTCTGGACGCTTCGGCACGCACAGCGTGCCTCGCCAGGCGACGTCCAGACTCGGCCAGCGAAACAAACAGGCCCTTTGTTCGCCTGAAGCTACGCACCTGAATTGCCGCAACATCGATCTGCCTTCAGTTTGTTTTATTTTCTTTATTTCTTTTGTTTGTTAAAGTTATCAGTCCGTTAAGTTACACTGGACTAATTCAGGAATGACCAAGTTCCATTTTAAGCCTTTTTCGTCGAGCCAACTTCACCGAGGTCAGACCAAGCCACGTGGTCTCGCCAGCTACAACGAAGGAAACCTGCAAACAGCCGAATTGACAGACGGAGGAGGCGTTTCAATCAGACACGGAGAACCCTGGAGAATCCCTAGCAAAAAGCCAGGATCGGCAGCTAGAGTGGGACCCGTGCAACAGGCCAAAAGCAGGCTGTCGACAAGCAGTAAGACTTAACACACGTTCTGTGATCAGATGTCCATTTTAACTCCTAAACTATAGCATTAGTTTACTTTCAGTAGCTCTTCTATGCCGTATGAGTCAAATGTTTCCCACAACCGAACCTCCAAGCTCATTGTTCAGCAAATGTTTATGTTCCCTGTATCCAACCATCTTTTTATCACCTTAGTTAGAGAATAAATTCACTGTAATATAATCAAGAGCTGTGTGTGTTGCCTATTTATAGTTCCTGCCAAGAGAATTGACCCTTTAGATATGAGACTGACTGACTGATTTAAGATAATTGAGCGATTATTAACTAACTGATCACTAGTAATAATTGTATAATTATTCAAACTACCTAGAGGTCCGGAGACTCTAGGATTATAACAACTCCGGTGGTGCCCTTAACGAGGAAATTTTGATTTTATGAATTTTAATTCATAATTGGGTATCAATTCTCATAAATTTATTAACTAATTAACTAATAAATTTAGGTCTACTACAAATATTACGCATGATCCATGCACTACTGCAGCTGGGGGCTCTCCGCAGCGCCATGCAATTTTCTAAATTCTTCCCTCTCAAGGGATAAAGAAAGGCCATGTTGGGGCGGCTGTGGCTCAGGAGGTAAAGCGGATTGGCCGTTAATCGGAAGGTCGGCGGTTCAATCCCTGGCCCCCCTGGTTGCGTGTCGAAGTGTCCTTGGGCAAGATACTGAACCCCGATTTGCCCCTGGCGGCTGTTCCGCCAGTGAATGTGTGTGAATGTTAGTTTCCGTTTGAGCACTTAGGCTCAGTGTATAAATGTGTGTGACTGGTGAATGCAGATGTAGTGTAAAAGCGCTTTGAGTGGTCGAAAAGACTAGAAAGGCGCTACACAAGTACGGAGCATTACATTTACAAACACAGCCGCAGCTATTGCTGCTGTGGGCCTCTTCTAGGCGATCTTGGCTCGGATGTTTTGTTCCGGATAAGAGTGCGATTGTTGTGTTCACATATTTCCCAACGAGCCGGGCCAAAGGGGAAACGCCCCCTAGTTTCAGAACGTCTCCAATCGATCCAGTGAGCTCACCCGCATATAAAACAACTTAAGGAACTTAACTGTCCTTGCATCCTTAACTTAAGGACACTACTCTGATCATTATTTTGGCGCTGTTAATTACGTCATTGCTGTCGGCCAATCACTTTTTTCTAGATGGTTTATAGGGCTTGGTTGTTGTTATTATAATACTTTTCAAAATGCATTCTGGGATACATTGAGTGGACTATGGGGGGTATAATAATCACTACACATTCGGACAACGCTACGAAATGGCGAGCTCACTATAGTCCACTACATAGTGAGAAGTGGGTGATTTTGGACGCAGCCTGACTTTAATCTCTGAACTTCACATGTGGCCCTAATCTTCTTTCATAGCCTGGGGACAAAATAAGCAATTAACTGAAAGGCAAGATTATAAGGTTAAAATGTTATTAAAATGAAACTAGATCAATGCTTAACCATTTAAAAGTATGCCCAACTTATTCTAAACAGGAAATCTTTCTGATTTTCATTTAATTACTTTACTCATATTGGCCTTAAATTTGATGTTAAATTGACATTTCTGTGGCTGTTTTAATGGTTTTAGTTTGAATAGACAGCTTACTTTTTCAAACACATTAGCTTTGATGTCAGTGTGATGACTAGGCTACAGTTTCTAAATTTATGCTCTTACAACACTTCTTTAAATGTGTAAAGAGGAACTGCGAAGTCGAGTTGAGTAGAAACACAGGCTTAAGTACTTTTTCTCCATCTAACATAGACTGCAGTAAAGGTAAAAATACTTTACTCCACAGATCATAAAAAAAGTAAAATGAAAACATCAGTTACAGCTATTATAATCTAATGTCAGAGGTTTATAACATGGTTGTTTTAACAGACGCACTACAATTTGACTTTATTTTATCAACAGACATTTCTTTATGAATACAAAAAGTAGTTCCACCAGGCTGCCAGTGTTGGTTGCTAAGCAACATACATCAAAGGCTACAATTATTAGTAACTATTTATTTATATCTATTTGCACGTTGCCGTTTGTTGTGCAGCCACTAAAAAACTGTCCAGTGTCAGATTGATTTTGGTAACTTGAACTATGATAAAATGCTTGCTGCTGTGTGCTGGCGACCAGCAGTGCACTTTAATGTTATAGCTACCTACCATAAGGGCGGAACTGTGTCTCCTTGAGCAGTAGTCTGCTGAACAGGCTATTGAAACTTAAACTTAGTTAACAGTAGTGGCCTGCTGTGTGTGTGTGTGTTTCGTGGGGGATTTCTCTCCCTCTCTCTCTCTCTCTCTCTCTCTCTCTCTCTCTCTCTCTCTCATTATTTATTTATTTATCGCCGCCGGTAAACTGCGATCTGTAGCCTATCAGATCTGTATCAGATCCATTTTTATACCAGGTCTAAATGGGGCGTGAAACCCCCACGAAGCTCAGATTATTAACTCGAACCCTGTTTGTCGGAGTGATACGGATCTGTGCAAAGGAATTCGACGTCATACCCCTTGTATACGCTCATTATGTCAGTACTATGAACCAATCAGATTGCTTGATTTGAGCCACCCGTTTTATAAGGTGAAACAGTTTGCTGTTTGTCCACAAATATGATACTGCCATACATAAAATGTAGCCATTCCTACATTGTGTTCTCTTTAATATGACAAGTGCAAAGTGACTGTTTATTCTTTATTCATTATTTTTAGCAGGGACTATGTACATATGGAACATCCAAAGTGACAGAACTGAATGAAAGAATAAATAAATAAATGGGGAAATAAATGCAAGAAAGAATGAATGAATAAAAGAATAAATAAATAAATACAGAAATATATCAAAGAAAGAATGAATGAATAAAAGAATAAATACATACATTTGCTTTTGCCTTTCCCCAAGGAGACCTATTGTCATTGCTTTTCCCTTAGTGACCTATTGTCATTGCTTTTTCCTTACAGACCTATTGTCATTGCTTTTTCCTTACAGACCTATTGTCATTGCTTTTTCCTTACAGACCTATTGTCATTGCTTTTTCCTTCCCCTTCCTTAACTGTCAATCAACGTGTTGTGGCCCGCCCACTAAGTCAGGTCGAGCAGCCGATGACTGATACTATCTTCAGTGTGGATATGGAAGAGTGTTATGATTGGTAGAAAGTTTTGAAGGAGTTATGCTGCGTTCAGTTGGAACTTCCGACTTCCCACATCAAAGCGTTCCAGGTTCATGACACCGAAAGTGAACGAAAACCATGGCTAACTGTGACAATGTGTACACACAGTTGCACCCTCAGCCGTGTTGGCAGTTGTGGCAGTTTAACTGCAACAACTTAATATAACATAAATAGCCTATAGTTACTAGTTAAAGGTTCAGTGTATAATATATCTCAGGATCTATTGACAGAAATGCAATATAATATCCATAACTATGTTTTCAGTGGTGTATAAAGACCTTGCATAATGAACCCTTATGTTTTTATTACCTTAGAATGAGCTATTTATATCTACATACAGGAGGCACCCCCTGCTGTGGAGGTCGACATATTGTGTCATCATGTTTCTACCGTAGCCTACAGCGAACAAACAGCACTTTCGTCACTACCTTGAAAGAGAAGCAACAGAAGAAGTAGCAGCAGAAGAAGTAGGAGCAAGAACAAGAAGAAGTTGTACGTTTCTAACTACTAGGTAGTAGTAGAAGCTCTCCTTTATTAGTAGTGGAATTTTGGACAAATGGAGGACCACAGCTATTATTTAGCACAAGAGCCGAAGGAGGGTGAATCTGCTTCGAAGAAGCGAAAGCATGATGAAGCCAGACTTATACAGAAGCGACGCAGGCAGAAATCACGGGTAAACATCGGTGTGGCTTTTCCCAGATGGAAGAAGGTTCTAATGAGGGAAAAATATTTTTGGACAGGTAAGGTAATGTTATTCCAACTTTAGCATTGCAAATGAAAACTTGTTTGATAATGTTAGCATTAGCCAGAAGCTAGCCATAGACACCGTGAGAAGTGACTTTTCCCTTGTCAGTGGTGTAAAATATGTAGTTGGATAGTTTCATGTGGTTCTTCTCCCTCGCTGTGTTATGGCTTCGCTATGTGGGGATAAATGTGCCGGTTACGTTCGTGAGACAATCAGCTGATTAGTATTATTGACCGCAAAACAGCAAGTTAGCCTACAGCTAACAGCTCATATTAGCCAGCAAAACTTTTACTACCCTGTTAGAAGAAATATGTAACGTTAGTTGGATTGTTATTTCGAAGGTTGTTCTCCAGCGCTTCGGCTTCGTTTAGTGAACAGAAATGTGTCTTTTGTGTTTGTGAGACAATCAGCTGATGATTACAATGAGCTAAAAAACCGTAACATTGCATGGAGCATGGTGACTCAGATTAGCAAGCTAAATGTTTACTGCCGTGGGGGACATTTATTTTTACTGCTAACAGCATTACAATAACAACACTGTGCCTATCAAGTGACTAATTATGCTTATTGTCAGAATTTACATTAGAAACAACGTATTTGTTTGTATTGCTTCTAGGGTGCATACAAAGGTTACCACAAGCTAAAATTATGGCACTCAGTACTTATTTGTGTTATATTGTAGAGTACCCTTGATCCTCACCTGACTATGGCTTTCTAAACTTACCCATGATGTGGTTTTATAATGGACTGTGGTACAGAAACAGGGACATTTTTACACACTCTTGGCTTACGTTTTCCATGTTGTCTGTCGGTGATCATACTTGCACTAGATGTGATAGTTTTTAGGATGTTCAGTTTATTAGGCCAGATGAGAAAACGCTACAAAGATGTAACACATTGTGGATTACAGTACAGTAATGTATTACAGTCATGTAGCACTTCATTTATTGAGGCTGCTGCTGTTTCTCCAGCTACGAGACAGGTCCTGCAACATCGACTCCCTTGAAGAGAAAAGCTTTGCAAGTCCCAGCTCCAGCATTGTCTAGCATTGGTGCTTCTAGTGGAACAGACCAGTAAGTCATGCATAACAATATATTAATTTTGTCCTAATAGCTTTGATTAGAAACATGAACTTTATGATTAGTTTGTAATAGTGGGTTATTTTATTTTTGGTCTATATCTACTGTTGAATGAGCATATGTGGGATTTACACAACTTGCTCTGGTTATTCTTTACAGAGATGAGCATCTTGATGTCATTCCAGAAGCCACAGAAATTCAGGGCCTTGAACAAAGGTAACATGTACACATCATAACTTTTAGCCCTGTATTGCTTTTTTCCAAATGTTCATAATATATATTTGTAATATGTTTTTTGCAGCTTACATGACATGAGCATTGTTGAATAGGACTTGGAGGAAAATGTTTTCAATGACCCAATGAACAGTGTGTAAGTAGTACTTCCTAATTGTATTATTTTTCAGTGATATTATTTGAGAACTTGTTTTTATCTGAAAGTTGTCATTATCTAAATAATTGATCGGGCAGATAAAGCTTCATCTTACTCCCTTGAAAGACATGATGGACAGAATGGTTTCAGCTCTGATAAAGAGGATCTTCCACCGATTTCTATACGGTGTGTTATTTGTCAGTCTCAATTTGCAATTGTTTTGTGGTGTTTGTTTACTACAGATTTTTGGTGGGTGGAGCACTGAAGAAAGCACACTCTATCGATGGACTTCCTTGCCTGCACATGAAGACGCTCCTGATGAGCCTTCTCCCTGTGATCATGACCCTGTTTTCCCAGAACCACAGAGTGTCCTTTGTGAAGATGACATCATAGGTGTCAGAGCCTCCATAGTGTACGAGAACTGCTTAAGACAACTGGCTACATTTCTGATCCTGCCTGTGGATAAATGCACTGGCCTTCTGAGGACTGGTGCGCCGTGCAACTCTGTTGCACCCTTTGAGATCAACATCACCACCAAGGGCACAGCAGCTACTATCGAATGGGTAAGTCCAGACAGTCACAGAATATCACAACTTTAAATTAGTATAAAATGAAAGGTTATACCAAAAGCCAGTGCTGTACATGACAAAAGCAAATGTTTCTTCTCTGTGACTTTTAGATCTGTCCTAATGGACACAACTTGTGGAGGTGAAATTCCCAGCCTGTGAAGTTTGGGATGCAAGCTGGAGATTTACTCTTGTCCACCAACATTTTGTTGTCTGGCAACAACTACGCAAAGGTTGCCATCTGGTTCAAATTCATGAACATGGGGATGGTGAACAGGAACACTTTCTTCTCCATTCAGGACACTTACTGCGTCAATACAATAAAGGCCTTCTGGGAAGAGAGAAGGACAGAGGTTCTTTGTGGCCTTCAAGCGTAAGATGTTGTTGTCCTAGGTGTGTAGTTGATACTGTATTATGTAACATAGCTATTGAATACACTAAGCAATGACAGTATGGAAACAACTAATAACTGTTTTTCTGTTGAATTATATTTAAAAAAAAATCAATGGATGGCAGAAATGACTCTCCTGGTCACTGTGCACAATACTGCAGCTACACCACCATGGAGAATGACACCAAGGAGATCATTCATGTTGCCACCATAGACAAGCGGCAAATATCATGGAACTATGTCATCATGGAGAAGGAGGGTTTCATCCAGACTGGACAAGCTTACATCAGAGATAAAGCTAGTGGAGATCTGCACAGATGCTCATGCCCAGATTGGTACCCTTATGAGTAAGTATTCATGTGAGAGTCCATCCTCCTTCAACTGGCTGAAGGACATACAGTGGGGGAAAAAAGTATTTGACCCCTTGCTGATTTTGCAGGTTTGCCCACTTACAAAGAATGCAACAATCTACAATTTTAATCATATGTACATTCTAACAGTGAAAGACAGAATCCCAAAGAAAATTCCAGAAAATCACATCATATGAATTTATAAAAATTGATAACCATCTGATGAGGAAAAACAAGTATATGACCCGCTACCAAACAGCAAGTATTCTGGCTCCTACAAGCCAGTTAGTCTTTCTTTAAGACACAGCCCCAATCCCAACCAATTATCTACATCAAATACACCTGCCTCACCTCGTTACCTGTATAAAAGACACCTGTCAACACCCAAACAACCAGCATCCAACATCACCACCATGGGCAAGACCAAAGAGCTTTCTACGGACATCAGGGACAAGATTGTTGATCTGCACAAGGCTGGGATGGGCTACAAGAGAATCGGAAAGCAACTTGGAGAGAAAAGATCAACTGTCGGTGCAGTTATCAGGAAATGGAAGAAGCACCACACCACCGCCAACCTCCCTCGGTCTGGGCCTCCACACAAGATCTCGCCTCGTGGGGTGTCCCTGATCATGCGAACGGTGAGGAATCATCCCAAAACCACAAGGGGGGAACTGATGAATCAACTGAAGGCAGCTGGGACAACAGTTACAAAAGAAACGGTTGGTAACACACTACGCCGTCATGGATTGAAATCCTGCAGCGCACGCAAGGTCCCCCTGCTCAAGAAGAAACATGTACAGGCCCGCATGAAGTTTGCCATTCACCACCTGGACGACTCAGAAGAGGCCTGGAAGAAGGTGATGTGGTCAGATGAGACCAAAATAGAACTTTTTGGCCTCAACTCAACTCGTCGTGTTTGGAGGGCAAAGAACACCGAGTACAACCCAAAGAACACCATCCCCACCGTCAAGCATGGTGGTGGCAACATCATGCTTTGGGGGTGCTTTTCAGCCAAGGGGACGGGACAACTCCATCGTATTGAGGGGAGGATGGACGGGGCCATGTATCGTGGAATTCTGGACCAACATCTCCTTCCCTCAGTGAGAGAGCTGAAGATGGGTCGAGGATGGGTGTTTCAGCACGACAACGACCGTAAGCACACCGCCAAAGCAACAAAAGAGTGGCTGAAGAAGAAGCACATCAAGGTTCTGGAGTGGCCTAGCCAGTCTCCAGACCTGAATCCAATTGAAAATCTTTGGAGGGAGCTTAAAATTCGAGTTGCCAGGCGACAACCTCGGAACCTGAATGATTTGGAGGCTGTCTGCAGGGAGGAGTGGGCCAACATCCCTGCCGAAATGTGCACAAACTGGCCAATAATGGCTTTTCTACAAAATATTAACATGCTGTTTGTCCAGGGGGTCAAATACTTGTTTTTCCTCATCAGATGGTTATCAATTTTAATAAATTCATATGATGTGATTTTCTGGAATTTTCTTTGGGATTCTGTCTTTCACTGTTAGAATGTACATATGATTAAAATTGTAGATTGTTGCATTCTTTGTAAGTGGGCAAACCTGCAAAATCAGCAAGGGGTCAAATACTTTTTTCCCCCACTGTAGTCAACCATTTTTGGTGGTGTTGCAAGACTGCCGACACACATGGGCAGTTTCTTGTAGGCACACAATTTTATTATATCTTTGAGTAATTTCATTAATTGCTATATTAAGGACATATTTATAGTGCATTTTTATGTTTTGCAGGCATTATGGGTTGGCATCCTTCACCATGTCTGCAACATTCACACCTGGACTATGGGAAGTTGCAAACACGGACACCTTGAATCGGATCAAATGCGGGGAAAGATATGGATCCAGAGAGACTCCCAGTGCCACAAAGCTTTAGTGGATATAGTTCTCGATAAGAGGTGGCAGAAAGATGTTCACAACTATCTGCGATTCAGGTAGTGTGGCTATACTTTTTCACACTGATGTATATTAGTAATATTTATGCTTACTGCTCATGTACACAGAAGTATGTATTTCAGATTTCAACGGTATGCCTTGAAATCTGAAAAAACCTACGGATACATTTCCGAGTTGCAAAGCTGGATTGTGAAGAACAGACTCACAAGTGGAGTAGGGATGCCTAGAAGGAGGAGGCTCCTCCCAGATGACCCCAGACAGCTTGGTTTGGTGCCCCCTGTACCTGCACCAGCCACATCAGACTTGTTGCAGAGACAAGTCAGAAGAGGTCTAGGTATGTTACACAAATTTGCTGCCTATGTTGTACCATATTACATGTCACTGAATGATATTTACATTACAATGTAGTCTGTAACTATGTTTGATGGCACTGTCTTCAACAGGACCGTTATTCCAACCAGCATCTGATGTGGAAGGATCCCCATAGGAGATCACCTTGCATGTGTCCTGGTACTTGTCAGGCAGGATCACGAGGGAAAGAACTTCAGTTCACTGAAAAAGTCATAGCTTTTACTCTTCAAAAAGAAAAATTTATTAACATTAAATTCTTTTCCTACCCTCCTACAGTGGTTATTTCATGTTTTTCCAATTTGTACATGTTTCATCTTATTCTGCTAAGTGACCAGCACATATTATTTTCAGTAGGTAGCCTAAATTACAGTTTACAATTTGAACAGTAATGATAAGTAAGGCTACAGCTGTCCCCTATTATGTAAATTGGAAATGTTATGGCAAAGTTTGAAATTCTAAACACATGTTCAAATGTATATAATGAAAATAAAAACACCATGTGCTTCTATTTCTTACCTTTTTATTTTTTCGATACCATAGAACTGCAGTTGAACAACTAAAACTATATAACTATACAACATACATCAAATTTAAAGAGGGGAGAAATATGAATAAATATATATAGAAATGTAATAATAAATCAAATGTTAACTATGTACATTTGTTTGATGCCTTGATGATGCTGAGGCAGGTTTGTGAGTATTTGTGTGAAACTGTATGACCATGCCAGAGGGCCTGGAAGGAAATTCACAGTCCAGGAATAAAACCTGTGTAGTGTCCTTGAGGATCAGGGAACTTGTCTCTAATCCTCCAAACACAACAACTAGGGACGACAAGTTGTTTTCCCTGGCCTAAAGCTCCATGTTGCCAATAGGTGAAGTGTCTATAGGCACCATAGCGGGACTCCGTTGTCATCCCCAGGCTCCCTGATGTTGCCTAATGCCGTAATGTCCTCCCGGTACTGCCTGTGAATGCGAATAAAGCCTTCTTCAAGGCAGTACTGGGAGAAGTGTGGCTGTAAGCTCACACAGTTCGCTTGCTCCTGGCCACAGCATTTCTTTACAGTTACCACAAGTACACCAAGGTACTCCTGGCACTCCGGCAGAAGGTGGGGCACCATGTCTGCGCTGATGCATCATCAAGGCATCAAAGACCAGGCCTGGCTGCCTCTCCAGCAGAAGGGTGGAGAGCTCTGTGTTCCTCAAGGGTCATCTCTTGAAGAAGTCTGAAGAAAGAGGACACAGGGAAAAATACTCAATATGCAATATTCTCTGCGTCAATACACTGGTTACTCTGTCTCGATGTTGTTTTTAAGATTGTATCCATTCCAAATGAAATATACCGGTACTCATTATTACTATTAATATTTAATGCACTACTACTATTTATCATTACACTTCTGTTGATGCTGTAAATTACTTTACATGTCCACATTACCTTTTTTAGATTTAGTGCAAACAGGTCAGAATATAATAACGTTACAACAACCGTATAAATACAAACCTCGGTAACAGCCCTTGGGTTCCTTTGGAGGACTTCCACTCTTTCTTCGTCCTCTATTGAGCCATCACTCTAAGTAGGTCCTCTGCCTCTCCTTGCCCTGGCTGCACCTCCAACACCTCTGCCTCTCCGCCCTCTTCCTCTCCCTCTCTCTCTTACAGTTATCTCCGGTAAATGGACTTCTGCATTTAGATCACATTGACATGTGCTGGTTCTGTCTAACATTAGCTTCTTCTTCTTCTTCTTCTTCTTCTTCTTCTTCTTCCTTGTGCTTTTATTGTCAGTTGGCAAACAACAGATTGGTGCGTTACCGCCACCAACTGGTATGGAGTGTGTATCAAACCTTTATACATCTCTGATCATGGAGAGAAATACTTCTGTGAGTGATTAGTTGTACTTAGTGGGAGGGCCACAACACGTTGATTGACAGTTAAGGAAGGGGAAGGAAAAAGCAATGACAGTAGGTCTCTAAGGGAAAAGCAATGACAATAGATCTCTAAGGGAAAAGCAATGACAATAGATCTCTAAGGAAAAAGCAATGACAATAGGTCTCCTTGAGGAAAGGCAAAAGCAAATGTATGTATTTATTCTTTTATTCATTCATTCTTTCTTTGATATATTTCTGCATTTATTTACTTATTCTTTTATTCATTCATTCTTAATTTGATATATTTCCGCATTTATTTATTTATTCTTTTATTCATTCATTCTTTCTTTGATATATTTCCCCATTTATTTATTTATTCTTTTATTCATTCATTCTTTCTTGCATTTATTTTCACATTTATTTATTTATTCTTTCATTCAGTTCTGTCACTTTGGATGTTCCATATAGATGTTCCATATAGATGTTCCATATGTACAAGACTCAAGTTAAATTGCCTTGCCTGAGCAGGAAGTGGTTGTACTTGTGTAAGCTTTGTGAAAAAGGGAAGGAAGGAGGAGTGGATTATTCTCAGAAACATTTTTGTAGAAAGCCTGTGAGATCATATTGATATGAGATGTAACTTCTTTACTGACACAGCTTCCTCTTAGTCTTCGTCATACTGTATGGTTTCAAGCTTTAAAGTGGAAATATTTGTCAGGTGCAGAGTGACAATGTTGGATGTGAAGATGGGACACACTTTGTTCTGTGTGCTGGGATTATTCTGTGAGTACATCACTGACTTTCTCTTTTCGGTCTTACTAAAAACACTTTATGTTACATTCACAGCATCACAGGTTGTCCAGAAACTGCAGGTTTCTGTTTAATGTGTCATTGGAAAGTTGTGACACTATTGTTTCATCAGCACTGCTGATGAGTTAAACCTTCATTGATAAATCTGGTTACACTATCTTACTAGACCTACTATCTTCACATATTTCATACATTTTCTTGTCTTTTTTCTTGGCTGGTGACTGACTTTAAAGTGGAAGACTGTGTTGTGAAAATGTTGATTGAGATACAATAATATTTTTTGATATTAGACATTATCCAACCACAGTTGCCATTTGTGAAACTTTTTAAATGTCTTTGTTTATTCTCATTTTGACAGTTTCTGTCAGTGTGATAATGTCTGATGAACTCTCTTTTCTTTTAGTGTGGAATACGCTCCTCCACTCTGTGCATGCTGAAGGTGAGTGCACAATTTGTTTGTTTTTCTGCATCTTTCTTATTCACATGATCGTTCTTTGTTAATTTATTGTCAACGTGTGCATCATTTTAGCCCATTTGCATCAACACAAAGTAGAATATGACTATAAAGTGTGTATGAAGAGTGTTGACTTTCATATACCATATTCTAGCAATGTAGCAAACACACAGGCAAGTGAGTGTAGATCTACTTTTAAATGTGGAAATGTACTTATTTGTAGAGCACTTTTCACAAACAAGTTACAAAGTGCTTTAACAAGTGTAAAGGCAATAATACCCAAGAGACAATAATACAAAAACAATACAAGATAAAAGCATGAAAATATTGAAAAGACTAAAATACACGTTTAAGATAAATATAAAATTAGTAAAATACAATAAAATAAAAGGGATAAAATAAAGTCAAATAAGATCGGGAAAGGCTCTCCTATAAAAGTATGTTTTAAGAAGGGACTTAAAAGAGTTCACTGACTCAGCCGACCAAGTGGATTTCGGTCATACACTTTCCATCTCCAGGCAGAAAAAAAATCCTCAATAGGATTGAGGAATGGAGAATATGGAGGGAGATAAACTAAAAAGCGTGGGTGGGCAGTGAACCAGAGCAGCCCTGTGGAAACTTACGTTGTCCCAAATGACAACGTACCTGAGCTGCTCTGGAAAATCTACCTGATCTGTTGGAATGAGTGTGTTGTGTAGGGTGTCCAGTAATGTCATCAGATGGGCTGTGTTGTAGGGGCCAAGGGTAGCATGGTGATGGATGACGCCGTGGTGGGTAATCGCTGCACACATTGTGATGTTCCCTCCGCGCTGGCCAGGGACTTCAACAATGGCACGCTGGCCGATGACATTCCTTCCCTTCTTTCGTCTTTTTGTGAGGTTGAACCCAACCTCATCAATGAAGATGAACTGGTGCTCCACTGCAGCCACCTCTAGCTCAAGGACTCTCTGAAACACACATGACAATATCAGAAAGAGACATGGAGTGGTCACTATTGTGAAGCACAATCATTATGATTACAATATTGAATACATATTGATTGTATAATTTACTGTATACAGTGTTGAGTGTATGCATCAATTGTGGGACTCACTTGCACATAGTTATATCGCAATTCTTTGACTCTTTCTGAATTGTGTTCAAATGGCACCCTGAAAGTCCGGATGATGGATGCTACAGTGTTGCTCAGATTTGGCTGTAATCTTTGCCCAGCCTCCCTCATTGTTAGACCATGGTTGACCACATGATCAACCAAAGTGGCTCGGATCTCATCAGAGATTAACCTTCCTCGTCCCCGTCCCCGTCGTCGTCGTCGTCGTCGTCGTCGTCGTCGTCGTCGTCGTCGTCGTCGTCGTCCTCTTCCTCTTCCTCTTCCTCTTCCTCTTCCTCTTCCTCTCACTCCTCTGGCTCTGCCTCTGTTTCCAATGTTGGCATTGCTCCATTGAAGAGCTCACCTGTTGCCCTTTTATGCTAAAGCTCTGATTGCTAATTGGAAAACTGTGTGACGGGTGTTTGCCCTTGTGATGAGTCAGTGTGCATATTTGAATGGCATTGTGTTCCTTGTGAAAACAAGATATTTTCAGCATGAAACTTGTGCCAAAAGCAGAGAATTGTGTGTCGTGTTTTGAAAAAAGTGTGTTTTAGAACTGCAATTTGAGTGTAAAGCAGGAATTGTGCTTGTAGTTTAGCAGAATTGGTTCAGGGGGTTGGTGAATGTGTTACATGTTGTGGTCATTGTGTCTCAAGTACCAGAATTTGTGTGTAAACAATTGAGAAAAACTGTAAAATAAGTGTACCTTTAAATGGCCAATACAACCCATAAAATGCAGCAGGCTATTTCACTTGCCAGAAAGTGATTGAAGAGACTGGGCAATACAGCTCCAGCAGATGGCAATCAGTGTTCGGCAGACGATCACTTTTTTGAGTTGAAATATGGTGATTTTTGTAGTTGTTTATGGTAAGATGTGGAACAATGATGTTGTGTGGTTGTGGACTTGAGTGAGTAACTTATACCATCTGCTAGGTTATGGTCGCAGTTTTGATTTAGATCACACTACCTTGTTTCTTATGACCCGCCCTTCTCTGCTTTTGATTGGCTAGTAGTCCTTACCTGGGAACTGCACACGTGCAACTCCCAACAAAGATTTTGTAAAAGTAAGATGCATCACTCTGTAGCTCAAGAGCGGAGCGTACAACACATAGGGTGAAAAGAGGAGCTGCAGCAATGTGCAGTATAGTAGTAGAAAAATATGGTGTTTTTAAAGAAAAATTAAACCATGTAAACCTGTTCTGGTACAACCCCTAATTAAGATTTTGAACCTGAAAATGAGCATAATACCATCTCTTTAAAACTTTATGGATGAACATTTGTTACAGATTAATAACTCACCACTCTGAAACTCTTGCTTCAGTCCATGTTGCCAAGCAACATGTACAGCTGAACAGAAGCTTGTTTGCTTGTCATTGGCCCGCCCTTCTCTGCTTCTGATCTCTGCGCATGTGCAACTCCCAACAAAGATCATTTAGAGACAACATCAGTATCACTCCATAGCTAAAACTAAGTCTTCACACACAGGGTGAAAAGAGGAGCTGCAGCGATGTGCAGTCTGACAAAAATATGGAGTTTTTTGAAAATTAAACCATGTAAACCTGTTCTGGTACAACCTCTAAATAGGATTATGAACCTGAAAATGAGCATAACACCACCTCTTTAAAAACATTACATTTAGCAGTGGTTTGTCACCACCCAATTTGCTCATGATAACATGTCTGGCTGAGTTAAATAAGGAACTATACTCTATCACACACATAATGGTTTAAACCAGAAGGTTATATGAATCTGAAGAATGCAGTATATGTATGGAGGTAAATGTGTTAAATGTGCAGGATCCAAACAGTGCACTTAAGGCCACCAACATGTATGTCTTTCCAGAAGACAAAACCAAACCTGTCCTCACTGTGTCTCCATCCTGGCTGAGTCCTGGAGCCTCAGTAACTCTGAGCTGCAGAGTTAAAGATCCATCTGCAGGATGGAGGTTCTTCTGGTATAAGGCTGTTCCCAAACAATCAGGCAACTCCTACGACCAAGAGCTGCTACCTGGCAGCAGCGACGGGACTGAACAGGATTCCTACGTCGTTCATGGACAGACACACACAGCAGGATATAAGTGCAGAGCTGGAAGAGGAGATCCAGTGTATTACACTTATTACAGTGAACCAAAGTTTGTCTGGTCTGGAGGTCAGTTTGTTTCTGTCTGTTTCTTTCCCCTTTTTATTTCTTCTATTCTGCCCCCACAGTTAAGTCAAACTTTTCCCTGATTTTTAAATGTAACTTTTATATTTTAAATGTGTTAAATTAAACAAATAATAATCTAAACAGCATTAGTTATTCCTGTTGAAGTGAGCCACACTTCACCGTATGTGGTTGCCTAAATTGGGATATAGTGCAGCAAGAATTTGAACTCCTGCAGACAATCATGCTATGCTGATTAAATTATTATTATTATTATCACCTACAAGTAAATCGCTCTGTATTGGCGACATTCCCAAACTGGTGCACCAGTAATGACGTAGTTTATAACAACCAGCAATGATTGGTTTGCCAGAGTGGGGAGCAACCATTGTGACCTAGTGATGGGGTAGGCTAAGGCATCGCAGAGGCATACGTCAAAAGAATGATTATGAATAAAAACGTAATAAAGATTTTTATAGTGACTTAGTTAACACCTGAAAGGCAGCTGTAAAAATTGGTAAAAAACAAAAAAGTTGATGTGTTGGAGAGCAGCCATGGTGACTGAATTAATATTAGGAAGATAATTTCCACTGTGCTGCTGTTAATGTCATGATATCTCTGTGTTTGTTTTGACACCTCATTAATTATTTTTCAGATTTTCATCCAGCAACAGTCAGAGTGAGTCCTGACAGAGAGCAGCACTTTTCCTCTGAGCCTGTCTCACTGAGCTGTGAGGGAAACTCTTCTAAATGGAGAGTGAGGAGGTTCACTAAAGCCGGCCATCTGTCAAACTGTTCTAAGTGGGGAACAATGACTGGATCCACATGCAGCATCAATGAACTTCCAAACAATACTGCAGTGTACTGGTGTGAGTCTGAATCAGCTCAATTCAGTAACGCGGTCAACATCACCGTACAAAGTAATTCCTTTTTTGTTTTAATTCTTCTAATTTCACAATTACATAATTCAACATCTTATATTCAGATTTTATAGGTGGTTATATTTTTTGGTTATATTATATAACCAATGCAGTGAAATGTTAAGGAGAGACATGTAACCTGCCATGAAATCAGTTTTTCCTTCACAGTGTTTATTATTAGACCTCTTATTACCAAAGAATTAGGACATATTGAGCCTCAATGGCATTTGTGTAACCAGGCTATTAACCAGGCTACTTAAATTTTGGGTATGTGATTCTAATCCAATACACATCTATTTGTCAAATTCAACAAATATCTCCTCACTGTCCGCTAGCTGTCCGTTCTGTGTGCGCTGAAAAACAATCTGGTGTTTGTACCCAGCCCAGGTTCTGTAAATGGGAAACTTGGACCGAGCCACACAACACTTTTCCAGCTGTTCCAGCCATGATTTCTGAGTCAGTAAGGTTGAATGACCTGCCCACAGACATTCAACTCACTCTCTAGTACACCAACATATGCTGTTGTTGTGACGTTAGCTATAGCAGCAGGAGAGTTGTGAGTATCTCTCTGGAGCTGGTGTGCTGGCTCTGGGACCACCTCGTCCTCTGTGCACATTAGTGTCATAGCAGCAAATCTGTTCTTTGACACTTCCTATTTCAGAAGGCACAGAATATCACAATCTGAGATAAAAAAAAAAGTTTTCAAATACTCAAATCTAATTAGAAATAGCATTTTTTCTAATGTACTGTGAATGTCTAATCTTGTACAGTCTAACAGTGTGTAAGTGAGTAAATGTGTGTGTGTGTGTGTGTGTGTGTGTGTGTGTGTACAGTTAAGTGTTTATCCGTGTACTTGTATGTAGGTATATTTTGGATGAACATGAATTTATGTAAACATAATGTACATACTGTGTGAATGCGTGTGTTCCCGTATGTATACACTTGAATATTATTATATATTATAAGTATATGGTGTTAATGTATGTGTACCCACATGTATAAGTGTATGTTCGGTATATATATTTTTTTCCTTCCTTCTTTTGAACATGTGGCCCACTTGATCCTGGATGTGGGTCCACTTGTGAAGTCTTTTACATGGATTCTTCTAATTTGGATTTACTAACTTGTGACCTCTTTTGTTTGTGAAAGCACTCAACTACAAATAACATTTATTAATACTTACCTTTTATTACAGCAGCGCCTGAAGACTCTTCATTTCTTCTGCCCTTGATTGTTGGGCCAGTTTGTGGAATTTTACTGATTATTCTCCTGCTGCTGTTGTGTTGCTACAGAAAGTCAAAGGGTGAGACCTTTTCCTGCTGATACTTGATGGTTTATAATCTGACTATTCAAAATCATTGTTGAATTCAGTGAATCAGTTTTTCCAATGTAACAACAATGTGACAACAAATCTATTTTTAACAGATTCATACTTCACTAGGTGGGTACAACTTTCTCCTTTGTCTTGAACTTAAAAAGCAATACATGTTCCTTATAAAATTTACTGTATTTACTATACTTTATATATATTTTCATTTAATTTTTAGGACCCCACAGACTCAGAGAACCAATAAGGGCTCTGCTCCAGATCAAGTGGTTTACCAGAATGAAACGACAGTGCACTCCTCTCATCTCCATGGTCAGCCTTAATAATTATCCAGATTCATTTATAATTAATTTCTGACCATATCATATCACAACACTTACTTTCTTGGCTTATTTTCTAACAACATTAATCAAAAGCCACAATCCATGAGACTTGAACTAAATCAAGTAATCAGTCAATCAATTTGTCAACAAGGATTGGAATATAATAAACTCATCTACTACAAGCACAAAAGATCAGAACTGAAAATTGGTTATAGTCATTGTTTACATTGTCTCTAGCTGAAATGATGTTAAACTAGACAGAAAAAACGCATATTATTAGCCCAACCATTTAAATAATAGTATCATTGCTTTATGGTATAAAATACATTTGATGCCATTTGAGTTACACCTTTGACATTACCCAAATCAAATAACTCAAAGACTCTAAACATCAAAAGTCTTTTGCACATATTTATATCTTTAAGACAATCTTACAATATATTTGAGTATATTCATCAGAAAAGAAGCAGCTTAGTTTGTATCCTAAAGTTGAAATGATCAATTTTACCGTGACTTGATTTTCAGGTGATGCTTGTCTCTCTGAATCAATCAGAGGCTCAGAAAACACTGAAAATGGTAGGTAAATTTTTTTATTTATTTACACACAGAAGAATATTAGAGAAGAGTTGACAATCCTGTAAGTTAAGAAAAGGTATATTTCAGATGCAGATGAATCCAGCTATGTCACATACTCGTTGATTCAGCTTAAACACAGTAGTAATAAAGGTGAGTATACAAACAATAAATATTATAGTCAAAATATTCATCAGGCCAGCGATTTCTAAATAAAAGACAGTATTAACTCATCTTTTGATGCATCTGCTCATCTTTACAGGGCAGCATAATGAACCAGAGGAGAGCTCCCTTTACTCGAATGTGAAGACAAGATCAGCTGCAGGTACAGTCACTTGCAACAGTTTGTCCAATAGTTTGTTTTGAAATATGCAAAAGTTTTTCTCAATTGCTTGAACACCATAACCAGGCTTTTGAACTGAAATTTCAAAACCATAACTCCATTTTTTCAAAAAGCGCACGCATTTCTACACACAAATCCCTTCATTTCTCATTGCCTACACCATGTGGTCATTGAGAAAACACTAACATTCAATATTGTTCACTCAATCAGCACAGGTTGAGCTCTCAATTAGCACACACAAACAGTCAAAATTGATAACACACCAATCAGGAGCTTCAATAGATAGATAAAAGGGCCAGAGTCGGTTCATTCAGTTTTGGAACAATGAATACAGAGAAATCTGAGGGAAGACATAGAGGACAACAGATAATGAAGGAGGAAGATAAGGAGGAGGAGGAGGAGGAGGAGGAGGAGCAGTATGGAGAAGCGTAAGAGGTGAAGGAAAAGAAACAGTAGGAGTTGGAGGAGGAAATTGGATAGGTGTAAGATGAGGATTAGGAGGAGGCGGAGGAGGAGGCGGAGGAGGAGGAGGAGGTGGAGAAGAAGATGGAGAAGTAGGGAGAGGAGGAGGAGGTGGAGAACAAGAATCTCTGGCCTGTCCAGACCAAAGACAGGATGCGGTGCCAGAATAATTAGTTGTTTGGTGTGTTGTACGGTACAGCACACTAAGGAATAAAAAATGTGTAAATGTTTACATTTGTTTTTTTCTTTTGTTGTGTTCATCATGTGAAAAGGTTTTTGAGAGAGGGAGCACCACAAGCAACATTACTAATAGCCAGTTTTTGTAGTATTGTTTTGAATTTATCTCACCAGTGTGTAAGACTGTGTTGTAGTGTGTGTGTGTGTGTGTTTGAGGGCTTGTGTGTCATGTCTGAGGGCAAAGTTTGATTTTTCAGCAGGATTGAAGGGTTTTGAGTGGAGAGCTTCATTTTGACCTGAAAATAAGATGTTTGGGGAATTGGGTGAGAAGTTGTGGATTTGTGTTTAGAGTTTTGAGAAAAAGAGGCAAAATTTCAAGAAATGTGTTTAAGCAAATGAGAAAAACTGTATTGCAAGTGACTCTGTGGTTCAAATCACTCTGGTCATCTCAGGAAGGTATGACATACCATCTGGAGTCGACAGAGTCAGAAATAGTCACATCCAATGTAGGGAGGGGCGTTTAACTTTATGATTTTCTGTTTTATAGTGAGTATTTTGTCCAGTAGTATGATTTGATACCAATACGTTTCATTCTCACGAATGACATAAAACTGAATTGTACTTCCTGTTTTTATGTTTTTTTTACTGTCTGGTTATGTTTTTATATGTTTGTTATGTTAATATATACTGTATATGGCACTTCTGTTTTACAGAAATAAATGAGCATAATCGAATATTTATACTTAAAAATGCAATTGATCTCTGAGACAGCTTCATCTGTCGATATGTGCTGTGAAATTATTGCTGTTGGTTTGTTGCTTCCATAAAAATTATGGTCATTAACACATCAAAGAAAAAACATCTGTATTTATATAAAGATATATGAAATTACTCATGTTGTAGCTTGTTGTTTGGGTTTGAGTTTGTTCTCTGACTCTAAAGATTTTAAATAATCTTTACAGCCCTATTTTTATTAATTCTAATTAAACTTTCTTAGTTAATTAATATCCCCTCTATTGTTGTAACATGTACACTGTAAATATGCGTTACTGAAGAAAACAATATTCACGTATCATCAAATGCGTATATTATATCTATTATTGGTAAACATTTCAAACTAATCATCTCTCCGTTCATAGGAAGATCATCTCCTGCAGCAACAGATGAAACTGTTTATTCAGAAGTCAAAATAGGAACGGCTCTTGGTAATAATGCTCCCATGTAATGTGCATGTTGTGATTTGTGTCTTTAAAGCGACTACATCTTAAATAACCTTTTATCTCTGCTTTCGCTGGTTTTCTTCCAGTTCCATAAAGAGAAGAGTATTACTTTTTCATGTGTAATGACCTTTTATTCCTTTAAAAATGGACTGATACTGTATGTACTTTATTTGTACCTGGATGTTATTAAGCCGTTTTGAAATCTTTGTCTTATTTTATCATTTTATGCAGCAATAAACCTTTTTTCAGCAACCAACTGTTTTGTCTTTAATTTCTTTTTTGTAATATGTATGTGATATTTTGTAGATGACAGCTATGCACCTGGGGGGAAAATTAAACAAATGGATGAACATAAAACCAGAAATGTCAAAACTTTTAAGTATTAAATCTTTGTCAGAGTGTTTCTTTTAGCAAAATATTCCTTCCAAATATTGAATAGTTGATTTTGTGTTTGGTTTCTAAGGCTTATTCCTTTATTTTTTTGTGTCAATGGTTTTTTGGGGGGGGAGTTTTCCTAACTGAGTTTCAGGATCTAAGGTAACAGAATTTGTATGTTGTACAGATTGCATAGCCCTTTGAGGCTGTTTCACCACCTTCGACAGTTGGTTGACTTCCAGCAGAGAGCAGCACCTCCATTTCCTTTGTGCACTGCATTGTGCTTCAACAGAACACTCAAATACTGAGGATTTTTTTGTATGATTTCTAACTGTTATGAGTATATTTTATCTGACCACTTGAACACATTGAACAAATTATCAATAGTTGCTAAGAATTGTTATGTAGTATGGATTTGGGACAAAGTTGCTGCTTCATGGATGTTGGTACTGTATTCTAATGTTTGGCAGAATTCCCAATTAGTATAAATGATAAGTAAATTAATTTATTGCATGCTAACTGCAAAAAGAGTTTACTGTGGAGATTTATATTCGTAGAATGTACTGTACTGGGGTATGGATATTACCACAGCTGAGTCTCTCCATGCTCTTTCCCCAATGCATGCTGGTATAGGATCCACAGTGAACAGCAGAATGTGGGTATACATCTATGGAGGGATAGACATAATTGTTAATGTGCATCATTTTATCAAGTTCATTATGGAGTATTATACATTAATCTATACAAAATAAACACATACACAGACCACAGACTTTCTGAAATGAGAACAGGTAAGAAATCTACTCTCACTAGCAAATTGCAGTACTGCATATCAATACAGTACTCAATGAGTACAGTAGTACAGTATTGCCTGTGGACTGTTCTGTAGGAATGTAAAAATACTGTAAAGTATGTTTCAAGTATTTAGGAAATGTATACCTACTTTGTATTTACAGTATTTTACTATTTGTTTGGCAGAACTGAAAGATTACCAACACAAGGTGGTCGGGAACGTCTTCTGTCTCCTGAACAGGAAACTGAAATCATAAACATGGTCCTAGAAAACAACACCATAACATTACAGCAAATACAAAGAAAAATAATAGAAAATAATGACATATTTCAAAATATTGATAGGGTAAGCTTATCAACACTGGACCGTGTCTTGCGCAGAAATCATCTCAGGATGAAGCAGGTCTACAGGGTGCCATTTGAACACAATTCAGAAAGAGTCAAAGATTTGCAATATAACTATGTGCAAGTGAGTCCCACAATTGATGCATACACTCAACACTGTATACAGTAAATTATACATATTTCAATATTGTAATCATAATGATTGTGCTTCACAATAGTGACCACTCCATGTCTCTTTCTGATATTGTCATGTGTGTTTCAGAGAGTCCTTGAGCTAGAGGTGGCTGCAGTGGAGCACCAGTTCATCTTCATTGATGAGGTTGGGTTCAACCTCACAAAAAGACGAAAGAAGGGAAGGAATGTCATCGGCCAGCGTGCCATTGTTGAAGTCCCTGGCCAGCGCGGAGGGAACATCACAATGTGTGCAGCGATTACCCACCACGGCGTCATCCATCACCATGCTACCCTTGGCCCCTACAACACAGCCCATCTGATCACATTCCTGGACACCTTACACAACACACTCATTCCACCAGATCAGGTAGACGGCCCAGAGCAGCTCAGGTACGTTGTCATTTGGGACAACGTAAGTTTCCACAGGGCTGCTCTGGTTCGTAACTGGTTCACTGCCCACTCACGCTTTTTAGTTTATCTCCCTCCATATTCTCCATTCCTCAATCCTGTTGAGGATTTTTTTTCTGCCTGGAGATGGAAAGTGTATGACCGAAATCCACAAACACGTATACCTCTTCTCCAAGCTGTGGAGATACAGCAGCTGATGCTTTTCATGGCTGGAATCGCCATGCTAGGCGATATTTCCCCCGCTGCTTGGCCAGAGAAAACATTGCTTGTGATGTGGATGAGGTGCTGTGGCCAGACCGCAACAGAAGAGAGGATGCAGCATAGTTTGTTTGTTTGGTTTTTTTACTGTAACTGTGTACAGTAAATTCTTCTTCTGTTGTTTTGTATGAAGTGTATGTGCAACTTTGTGTTGGTTGGGAATGGGATGTACACTGTGTACATTGTTTTTGTCGGACAAATAAAATATATTTGTTACCGTGGATTTGTGTGTTCTGAGTACAAAAACAACATTCTCAAATATTTTACAACACACTTGTGTACACGTGTAACACTGAACAAAAAAAAGGCCTAAGTCATTATGATGAATGGAGAAGAAGTGTTTTCCATTCATCATAGTGTTTTACATTGAGCACATCAGTGTTCAACTGGTTCTTATGAATGTCTATTCATATGATTTGTGTGTCATTTGAAAACAAAATACCATTTTGAGAAGAAATAACATTGTTTTGAATGTAAAGTTTCATTTTGCAGGAGAATTGAGGGTTTTTGCCCATTGTGTGTGTGTTTTTTTCATTTGTGTGTAGAGTTCTGAGAATATGAGGCATTCTTTCAGAAAATGTGTTTAAACAATCAAGGAAAAACTGTAATACTTTAATTAATTATCTGTGCCCTCAAACATCAGTAAGTGTTGACATGTTGTAAATGTGAAAGAGGAAAGAATAGGAGATTATCCAAGTTTAGAAAGATTATTCAGAAACCTTATTTGTCTGATTTGTAGGGAAATGCTATAGTGTGGACAAAGCATCCGTAGTTTGTCATTTTTTTATTTATTTAGTTGTTTGTTTAGTTGTTTATTTAGCATGGGTATTCTGGATTTGCAAAGAAAGTTCAAGTCTTGGACATGCTGAGGGTGATTACGCTATTTCTGTTTTTCTATTATTCACCAAAGATGTCTCAAACTACTGTCACTTTTCATAATATCCTCTTTTTGTGTGGAAACATGCATTTGTTAAAGCAGAACTCTATGATGAGTATAAACTTTGTTCGTGTTTGTGCAGTTCCTTATTCCTTTCACATTTTAACACATAGCAACAGCTGCAGTAATGACTACAAGTTCATTGTTAGTCAGAGGAACATTTTCTATAAGTGATCTCATTGCCGTGATTCAGCAATTCAGGATGCGTTTAATCCTATCATGTTTTAGTTTCCGACATCTTAAACATTAATCAGACACATTTTCTGTCAACTTCAAAAAGAAAACGTGCATATAAATAATAATTTTACTAATTATAGGTGCGTTCACAAACTGTCACATTTTCTAACTATTTTAAAGTCAAATAAAGGACTAGGCAGTGTATAAGTTAGCCCATTCATTTATGCATGTAGTGAACCTACAATCTGATTCTAAAATTATGAATGTTAATACTTGGACATATTAATTTCATATGCACTTCTTCAAAGAAGAGGACACCGCCTGACTTTTTTGGTTTATACAAGGAGCTAGGAAACCTTTGTTTGTAGTATTGTAAATAAAAAAAACCCAGCTAGTTACAAATAATCAGTCAAACGTTAATAGATCAATCTCATATCTGAAGAATGAATTCTCCAGGAGGGACCTGGATTATAAAACATGGAATATTTATTTACTAAGGTGAAGACAAACAAAGGGTAACTAAATATATATTGTATTTGAGACTGTGTTCATGGCCTTTTTGTGGGCTTGGCAGAAAGTGGCAGTGGCTGTGTGCCAGTGGGTTGGTCTCAGGGTCCTTCGGGCTTTAACTGGTAGCGGCAGGAAACAGTCTTACAGTAGTTGTGGCTAGCTCTGGTCTGTTGTCTGATGTCAGACAACATTGTTCGTATTTGAAAAGCTAATACAGTAGCCCCATATTTAATACTTTTATTAATTGTCTGTGCCATCAAACATCAGAAAGTGTTGGCATGTTTGTAATGTGAAAGAGGAAAGAATAGGAGATTATCCAAGTTTAGAAAAGCAGGAGCTAAAATTGGCATGAAATCAAACTACTTTTCATTTTTGTTTCACTCTCAAGAGTAGATTGCTCAGAAGCAGTGCCAGTACTAGATGTGAAGATGGGACATACTTTACTCTGTATGGGGTTATTCTGTAAGTACATCAGAAACTTTTTTCTGTATTGTACAGGAAATAAATTTCCTAATGATGTCCATGTTTTTTATATCCTTATTGTTGTTTTTAAAACTATCTGTCAGATTAATGTCTGTTGAAGTGTCAATCCCTCTCTTGAAGTATGGACATGCTGAATGTGATTACACAATTTCTATTTAATATACTGTATATGTCTATATATCTATATCTATATATAGATATAGATATATCTATAGATATCTATATATAGATATATCTATAGATATCTATATATAGATATAGATATAGATTTATATATATATAGATTTATAGATCACATTTACAGAAAATCTAATAGACATATCTATTAGACTTTTTTTGTAAATGTGTCCTGAATTGAAGATATCTGTTGTGATGTGGAAGAGAATCTGTGACACGACAGACAGGAACGTCAACGTGTAATTTTACCGTTGTGCTATGCAATGCTGGAAAACAGTCTTGCCTTTTTATTTTCTGGATCACAATGACTGTCCTGTGTCCTGCAATGTATAACTTTGTACTGGTGAAAGTCATATATGCCATACAGAAAATGTGCAGCCTTGTGCATTTTCAGAAAATAACAGAAAAAAAACAGACTACACTGTTATATTGACAACATGGCTTCCAGTCTCTTCATTGCGTCAGCTTGTGGCTCACCAGTTACCTTGTAGGCAAAATGCCTTTTTGTGATCGCAACCTTTTCTCAACCAGTACTATCAGTGTTCCTTTTTTCACAAATTTCTATTGCTAAGACCTGTTTATCACTGAAACCAGTTGTCCTGTAACTCATTAAATGTTCT